AGTGTAAGGAGACACGAGTTGGGGGAGCTCTATCCGGAAAAAACCAGTATTTGCAGACCATTCTCTCATCCTGGTATGCAGCCAGTATGTATTGATTAAGAACATATAAAATATCTCGATGGCTGCGAGACTCCCAAAGTGCTGCGCATCAGACCCTGAGGGAGTCGACCGAAGGCCGGCGACGAACGGCATCTTCTGTTCGAGTAAATTATACATCTGTGGATTCTAGAGCTGCCCAAATCAACTCTCCGGGGCGTAGCACGGGTAACTGCTAGTTCCACTAAAAGGTGCTTCTATCGACATAAATATCACCGACCTCTAATCACATCCACAGGTCCAATGACATCCACTGTACAGGCACTCGCAGAAGTCGGCTGGAAATTGAGTTCTATGAAATTGCACACACCATCTGTCTGGGCAATCCGATCGTGCCCATTATTGCCCCGTTATTCAGCTCTTGGAAAGCCATCAACATTGCACGTATTTGGCTCTTTCACGCGACGCGACCAAGTCACGCGGAGAGATTTTCGTCACTCCCACCATGGCCGCCCGCGCTGTGTCTTCTGGGCCTCCTGTTGCGTTCCTCGCTGTCACCTGCGCGCGCCCGCACTGCGCCACATCTTCCGCGTGCAGCACAACTACTACGTCGGCCAGTTGCCGACTCTGGGCCCTGGCGCACGGCGGGTGGTCCGCCCGAGTACACCGGGACGTACATCAAGGGCATCACGTCAACGTCACTAGTGATGTGCGGGTCGGGTCGGGCTTGAAAGCCCAGGCTTGGGTCGGGCCAGGGCGGGCTTGGGCTTGAGAAAATCCCCGACCCGACCCGAGCCCGCTAGTAGGGCCCGGGTCGGGTCGGGCTTGGGCTTGAGCCCAGGCTTGACTGTATTTTCTTTGCTCCCTGCATTCAAGTAAGTTTCATTGCAGATTCGGTGTTCTGTATATCATTACTCACTGTAAGCCTCATTCTGTAAAATTTTGAACCCTCACAGACGGTTTTTTCGACACCACTGTTTAACCATCAATCCATCAAACTGATTCGACCCGCTATTGCGACTTGGAAAGCCACATTCAAGGTGAGAAGACCTATTGGGCATGCAGTATTTCAGTTTACAATTGTTGAACTGCCTCAATGTTGCCATCTCATTCGAAAAATCTGACCCCCAGTGGGACCCACTGAGGCCCGGGCTCAAGCCCGGGTCGCGGGTCGGGCAAAATTCTGGCCAGACCCAAGCCCTACCTGAGCCCTACCTCGGGTCGGGCCTGGGTCGGGCTTAAAGCCCAAGCCCTGGGGCTTGGGCTTTAAGCCCGACCCGTCACTAGTCCGTTTTTAAGGTCAGGAGCCCGATCAGGGTAGAACCTTATTACATAATCACGTTTTGAGGCCCTTGCCCCAGCTCTTGAACCTTGGATATAGCTACATCCGAAAGAAACAGATGTTTTCTGTATGCCCAAATATTTCCATATTTTTTCAGTACCATGGGACGAAGCCATTGACGAGTCAAATTGATGGGTTTGGGGCACATTGAAGGATGAGCCCCTGCACTCATTCAAGCGCCATTCAACAAATTTTAAAGAGACAGATCATTTCTAATATACTCCGAATTTTAGTTCCACCCCAAGAAACTAGATAAAGAGGGGCCGCATAGCGAAAACGGCACCAGGGCAGCTAAGCGAAGATTATGTAACAAGGGCCAACCCCAATCGGGACCCATCACTTAATAACAGACTTCAACACATCGAGGTACGAGATCATACCGTGTTGAAGTCTGGCTCTGAGAGACTAACCCGGCACATCACTAAACATCACTTACAAGACGCAACACTTCGCGGCGTCGCTCATCCCTCCAGGACTCATCGTCTCCGGCCCCGAAAATCCCCTCAATCGGAGCAGTTGGCCTGGTCCTCTCGGTGGACGGAGTCGGGAGTCGGCAGAGGCGGCTGTGTGGTCGTGTTAGGACTGGATGTCGTAGCACAGCCTCATCCATCCCTGACCGCGACGCCTCGCACCTCTTGGAGCCCTCCCCCTTCCTTGGGCCTACTCGGCCTCCTCCACTGTACGTATCCTTCCTTATGCTGTGGCGCGCCGCCGGACGCCGCGCTCACGCCCAGTCGCTGATGTCACTGCGTGCACGCGCCCTGCCCACCGCCATCCGCGCGTCCTCCGTCGACTCGGCGCTGGACCACGACGCGCCCTGAGCGGCGCGGGCATCTAAATAAGGTGCGACCCCGTCAACTCCGGATGACTTTGTTGCTTACGCTGCGCCAGTCTGGACTTTCGCCACTCCGTCTCGTTCGTGTAGCCCCGCTCACGCCTCCCGCAGCGCGTAACGGGTGGTGTCGATGGAGCTGTTGTGGGGCACCAACATACCCGAGCAGGTATCTGCACGTCCCGTCATACGTACGTCTCCCATCGCACGAGCACTACCTCTGGCCGCAGGAACAGTGGGTCTCCGTCTGGCCGCGCACCCCGCCACCGCGATCGCCGCCGGCCCCTTCGACGTAGGCGAGTGCTGTCTCCGCCGCCTGGTTCAACGGCTTCTGCTTCGTTACACCACCACGCGTGACGGCACATCGAGCTCGTCCCCGCGCTCGCAGACGAGGACGCCTTGCCGCCGATCTTCAACCTCGCGCTCTGGGCTCCCCGTGCCTCCTCCCGCTCCTCCCTGCCCCAGCTGGCTCCTCGTGCGCGAAACCCGCACCTCTTCCCGCCGCCCCCGCATCCGGACGCCGTCGCGCGCATACTCGCGCCGCACCTCCGCCGCGCCCTGCCGCGAGCTCGCCGTTCCAGCTGGAACCGCATCCCGTCCCTCCCCGACCGCGTCGCTCCGGAGCACGCGCCCGCCGACGCCGCGCGCTGGTGCCCAATCGCCATCGTGCGCGGCACGCGCCGATTACCTCGCACATGCGGGGGACGCGACGATGCTGAATACGGTGAGCGAGGGCACGGTGGACATGGCCTACATCCTCACAACTGAGCGCAGCGCGTGGCTCGGCGGACGGGTGGCGAGCGGGGATTTGATGCGCAATGCGGAGGCGGCAGACATGGAGATGGCGGTGGGTACGGAGATCGCGTGGCGCAAGAAGGGCGGCGGTGTTTCTAGACAATGGGGTACGTGAGTTTTTTGCCGGTTTTCCGTATTTTGTTGGTTTTTCGGTTGGCGGTTTTGGGGTTTTCGTATCCGTGTTCGTTCACTCCCCTTTCTCTTCTGCTTTTTTTCGCTTCACTTTCGCTCGTTCGTTTTTCGCTCGCTCGTTCCTTCGTGCCTGATCTCTTCGTTTGTAGTGGTCATCGTTCAGGAGGAACGTCGTTCACGAGCAAAGTCGTTCGTCGACGGGTGGGAGGGCCGGACGGTACGGTTGTTGTAGGCGCGAGTCTGCTAATTATCTCGGTGGAGTATCTCGGTCGGGCAGTGGGTTGTCGCGGGTGCGCGGGTGGGTATGGCGACGAGGAGGACGAACTACTGTGTGAAGCTATGGCCATTGAGCCTAGTACGCACCTGCCAGCAAGATCAAATAGAATCAGGTCGAGCCGCACGAAACGCAGCGATGCAGAGGGCAAGGGAGTATGGACCGATGCGATGTGCGAAGCCACGAGAGGACGGCCAGGGAGACGAGGGCTGAGATTAGGACTGGGACAGAAGACAGGATGGGTTTGGATGCTATCCATTCTCCATTCGCCGAAATCTGCAGCTTCTACTAGCATATCGGACACAGGAAAGTGAAACAAGTATTCAGGAATCATTCCGAGCCACAGAGACAGATACAAAAGAGGGAGTGAATGCATATGACCCATATTAGCTCGTCCCTGGCGCCAGATGTAACCCGATAGGGAAATGCCACCGCCGAAGACCGTCTGCGGCGAATGCGGGAGACCAAGATGTACCCACCAAAAAATCCTGTACACTAGGTACAAAAAGTGGATTAAGGCGCCGCAGGCAGAGACTCTTCTGTTAAACGAGCTACGTAAACCCCAAATCGGGTAATTCCTTCCCACCCTGTCGCAGTTCCGTAAGCCCGGAGCGGTAAACGACGTGCCCTGAAACACTGTGGGATCATGATCCTGGCAATAAACTCCAAAATATCCCTCAAGGCGAGTCTCAAAAAGGGGGCAAAAAAACCGGGAAAAAAACTCGACCTTCGCAAATGCATTTTTGAGGTCCTGCGCAACTTTTACAAAAAGTGATTTAAGACCGGTGATCAATCTCTTTCTGCTTCCGCCTTCATATGGTCAACGGAGATGCCATTAGCAGTACACTGACCTTCCCCACCCTCCACGTCTTGACCCGTGGGGGGGACACCATCCCACTCCCTTCCTCGATGATCTTGTTCCTCCGCGGCTGCGGTATTTTCGGGCAGAGACGTGTCTATACACCGGGCACTCCTCGCCCGTATTAAAACCGCTGGAACTCGAACATTACGATTGGGGCGATGAAACGGAGCAGTTCCCTTCCGACGCGGCGATCACTGGCAGGCTCGCAGCGCATTCTGGTGTCCGTTATATACTATCGCCGAGCAAGTCCTGCCGATTCGTCGCGATTCCCGGTCGGGCTGCAGGGAGCGACCTCATATCTCCGACACGAGGGGCACACTAAGATATTCGGGAACTTTCGAGGACTGAGATTAAAATAAGGAAACCGGGATAAGCTTTCTGGGGGTGCCGTTTTCGCTTAGATATGGTTCATAATATAGGTTAGCGGTCAGAGCAGAAACTCGCCGGTGCGCGTTTACGCTTTCTTTGACGGAATTTGTACATGAGGCCACTCATCATATCGATTGCCCAGAACCTTACCTGTTCGACTCACGCCCGAGCCATGGCCTTGACTTTAGGGTATTTTTTGTGCACATCGGGAGTACGTACGCGATCCCTAGCACGATCTCCATGTACTGTATAATTTACATTCTGTTTCAACGGTCCAAAACTGACCCATATTTTATTTTACAGGTGGAATCCCTCCAAAACTCATCCATCTACGAGGTTTCAACGTCAAAGATTCAGCAACTCGGTAGTGAAGTCGCATCACGTCCGCCTCATGGAAAATGCGACCAGATATGTAAGCGGAAGTCGCCCGTTCGACCCAGGTCCGAGTTATAGAGTGTGCTGCATGTTTCTTTTTGGCGTCATGTTATCGAGGCTGTCCACTGGACGACTAGGTCTTCCCGTTCTGCCCACTACTCGTCCATGGTGCATCCGGACGCTCAACCTACCGCAGCACAGTGTCATGCTGCCCAGCTCGTGCATACTAGTATATTTAGATGAACTCCCCTGCTTCCACAGACCCGCGGCGGCTATGGGTCCGCAACTTCATATCCAAATCAGGATCGCGGAACCTTGCCTGTTCGACTCAGACCCGCGTCATCCTGTGCAATCAGTTTTTTTTCACTTTCTGCCTTGCTATCTCCGCATCACAGCCTGATAATTGTCCCTTCTTTCTTCATAAGCATCAACTACCTCATTCTAACAGACCGACTTCTAATTCATGCGCTCGATCCCACCTCTCCATCTCCAAATCATGTGCATCTACTCAGTTCAACCCAGGGTACTCAACAACTCGAAATTGCCGCCCGTTCGACCCGGCTCCGAGTTCCACTTTATTTTTGGCCGCGTTTCAGACGGTCTGCCGAGGCTCTAGACGGCATCCTTGCAGCGGAATAACGTCCCTGCATTATCCACCATCTCATAGCGTGTATCGCAATATTTTGAGGTACAGCAGTCTTCCGTTCCCTTACTTTCGGTCCGCCTCTCGCCCCAATATAACGCAATTTGTTTTTGAGCAGAGCTATGCCTGTTCGCGCGATCATGTCAGACCCCAGCGATGACATTGATTCGGCGGCGATTTTTTTGTCCGCGCCATATCCCGTGCTCTATTCAACACCCTGTGCAGGCACATCAACGTTTTATTTATGCCACTCGCGGTACTACAAATAGAGGACAGCAATTCTGTATAATGTGATGCTCCAAGGGATGGCGGGCGAGATCGACAGGCCGGCGTTCGGGGTGGAGGATGTGCTCATCGGCGAGGAAGAGCTTGCAGCGGTACTAGTACCAGTAGACTGTGGCGGGGAAGTAGGAGTACCACTGGCGGTAGCAAGGGTGAAAATCGGGATCACACTTCCAGAGAACTGGGATGTCGCCTCCCCGGGGAATGTTTCGAGACAGGCTCCCCGTCCGTCGGTGCCGAAGCTGCACGATTCGGAGATGATGCCGGTTAGAAAAGAGACATTGTCGTGTTCGCGAGAGGCGTCGGCGACGAACGTGGCTGCCGGTGAAACGGGGACGCAGCTATTAGCACAAGTCTGCGTCTAAAAATGAACATTCCAACTGACCGGTTGTGGTGACCGGGGTACTTAAAACAGTCACGGTCCGGTCGGAGTCCGTCGTGAGGGCGTTGGAGAGGCGGAACGTTACAGCCTCCACCGTCACGAATGTTGGAAAGGCCTCGACTTCGACGTAGGTCGTTTCCCCGTCAGATCCAACGCCGACGGCGGAGATTGTCCGGGATGTGGGTTGGATGTCACCGGGCACCGACAGACCGAGGAGCGTCTGGGTGTCGGAAAAAAGCCAAATTACTTGCAACGGCTTGAATCAACTTGTAGCCTTGAGACGGCTTGCCAGGGGTTGCAAGCCACTCAGCTGAGCCTTGGAGGTGCTCACAAGCCACTGCAAGGTATGCAAGACTCGGAAGGAGTCTCAAGCCGTGGCAAGGCACCCATGACTTGGCGAGTCTTTAGACGATTCGGAGGAGTTTTTTTTTCCCGCTACATAGTACCCGGAGTTAGAAAGGGACATTTAGTCAACATTATTTTACATACAGAGACTGGTCCTCTTCTTCGGTTGAGTTTCACCGGGGTTATCTCCAGATTGCCGAGAGGTGTGGAGCTGGGTGGAGCGTCAACCCGGTGGCTCGAGCAAGGTGCATAACTCTGTTCATGCCCTTCGAAACTTTACTTGTGCAGACATGCGTGTGCTTGAACCATTACTAGTATTCAGACTACCGTTAGTCTTACTGACTTGACTGCAGTACTTACTTGCTGACTTGCTTGCTTAGTTGCTTCGTTCATTAAATATCGTACCGAATCATTAAATCCGGTACTGAAGAGAGAGAGAAAGTGGTAGAAATTTTGTTATTTCTGGCTTTCGGCGCCTTGGGACGCGCCGCAAGACCATTTGGCATCCAGAACCTTGAGACTGGGGGCGTGGCTTGGAACTGCTTTCAAGAACCTGACCTGTGTGCTGCAAGCCGCTCAAATGCAAATGACCTTGCGACGGCTCCCAACATATTCGGAGCCGTTACGTGCAATTTAAGATTTTTCCGACAGGAATATACTTGAGCAGTGTGAGATTGATTGTGTTTGATTTTTCGGAGGGTGAGCACCGTGTATTGAGCTTGACAGCAATATAACTGCGATTGTAGTGGGAATGTGCATGATTATGGTGCGCGTGGCTTGACGGAGGTGAACACGTCTTATAAGAGAACTACGGGATGCGACCGTGATGAGGATATGACCTCATTTTCATGATGATTATGACGGTGAATCTGTGAGACACTCAAATAAATGAATGGGATCTATCTTTCGATTCTTGGTGTGGGGGAAGTCGGAATTCGATTAATGCGCAATGTTTGGAACATAAAATTTGTTTTGCAAGTGATTCACCAACGGGGAATCAGCCGTGGGTTTCCGAACTACGCTGTCAATTGATATGCAGATGGATCAGAGTACTCAGCCACGTACTGTTCATAGAGTGCTATTTTTTCAAATTAATATCCCGCATCCTGGAAGGTCGTGGAGCTAGGATCTGCCCCGTGCGAGAGCAGCTCTTGATCAATTGATCCTCCGTGATCTTCCTCTTCCAAGGGAATTTATTCAACGAAAATTCCCATGACCGCGGCATAAAACTTCATCCACGTCCTGTTGCCCGTCTATAAATAGATTCTGAAGGAGGTTTGTACCCTAGGATATGATCATGAAAGGTGAAAATAGTCATTCTGTGTCGGAATTATTTAGCAGTAAGCATCGTGAGCGTGTCGGAAAATCCCCAGCATATCAGTGTGAGCCAGAGAAACAGATGACAAGCCCATCAGATATGCACAAACGACAGACGAGCTGGGCGCTGATAGCGGGAGGAAGAAACGGACCGTCCCGGTCGCACAAATCCCCCTGTTTCCCAATTTTCAAGGCGAGCCAGTTCCGCACGTCCGCCGGGAGGTGACGTCGTAGATAAGCCGAAAGCCTGTCCGTGCGTATATCAAAACCAGTGAGGAGTACAAGACGAGCGGCAGAGGCGCACCTGCAGCCCTGCGTCCGCACAAATGAGTTTCGAGCCGAGTTGTACACCCAGCTGCACAACGATCCTATTCGTACCTACGAATTTAGCTTCCGGATACGGGAGGGGCATATTTTCGCGCCGAATTCGATGCCTAGGTGCGTAGGTATCCTATTTGCATAATCCCAAGAGAAATTTGCAGACAGAGGCGCAGAGTCGCGTTGGGATTCGCGAGGAACCGTTGGTGGATGAGCCGCATGAGAGAGATGATTTGTCTATTACTGCTTTGCCTGGGATCCGAATTGGTTCAAGATCGACGGAGGGTAAAGATGACACCGGTGATGATTAATGTAGGACGTAGTGCCACACTGGGAGCGCCATTTTTGTAGGTTATGTTATACGAAGCTAGAAGTCTAGCATTAATGCTGCTCGCAACCTGTCATCCTATCTCGTTGCGTCGCCTGCGCGAAGGGCGACACGTTAGGTTTCTCGTCCATGAAAAGCCCGCAAAATGACGGTCACCGATATTAACTGCGCGTTCTGGACGCGGTGGTCTTTAAAGCGGAGTTGCCAAAGCTGGCGCCTTCGTCGGTGCTGTCATATACGGGAGTACACAATACCGCCGTATGAGAAAGCGCAATATTGTTACCAGGAACGCGACTTGGACGCAGTTGCACGTTCTGTACGCAGCATCTGTACGTGTTAGAAGACTTGGACTGTTGCCGCGAGAGACAGCGGTTTGATTCGAGAGTGCGCTATTTGTAGATTATTGAGTTCGTTCGTGGTCAGTTGAATCGCAGGCTGATATGAAACCTAGGCGTGATACAACAAACGGAAGATTTCGTCCGCGTGATGATACATGTGCATTGGATTTGCGATGTGTGTAACCTAATGACCAGAAGCCCAAGGGAGAAGGGTTATGAAAAGGAGTAAACAGAAAGGATGGTAGGAAGGATCCGAGTCGCGCGTGTATCGTAATGAAAATAAGTGTATCCCAAAGAATTATCGATCGACATGATCCCCAAAGAGAAAGAAATGAAGAGCCCTGGCTAATTCATGCAGGCTTTTAGCCAGGATTCATGGTGCCTGAGGTGTAACGCACCTATTTCCCGAGTCATCCCACACGCAGCTCGGGCTTCTCGCGCAACCCCCCCGCCTCCGCGTCCCTCGCACCGCGCGGAATAAGTTTGAATTCGGGGTTGTCATTCGGGCCGGCGACCACGGGGTACCTCTGGAAGGTACCGATGAAGGAGTTGAGCGTGGCGAACACGACGAGCGTGGAGAGGCCTGTCACTCGGAGGACGAGGAGCATGGATGGGTGGAGGCCGAACAGGGGGAGGAGCGCCAAGGTGAGGAGGAAGGATGCGGTGCCGCTGAAGAGCAGCTCGAAGGCTACGAGCGCGGCGCGGATGCGCATCGGGATCGGGACCCTGGCGTCGAGGGTGTGGTGGGACATGGCGTCAAGGAAGGAAACACACGCAGACATTTCGGCAATATCTCGCGGTGATCGATGATCATCGGCTTGGCGTTGATCTGAGAACGCTGATTTGAGAATATTCTGTGATTTACAGCTAAACGAAAAACGATAGACCCAACTCGTTTGCGAGTTCAAGTTCGGGCCGAGCACAGCCTTAGCCAAACAAAGCCCCAAAAGCCATCGCTCAACTCCACTATGCCCCAACCACTCCTCGACTGCAACTACGATGGCCCCAGGCAACCGACGCCATATACCTGAAGAGCAGAAACAGCTTGTTGTCATCATGGCCCATACCATGGCCCCCAAAGATATTGCAGCAGCCACCGGCATCCATCGCCGTACCATAAAC